GAACAACTATGGCCATTAGCTTTCTATAGCTACCTTACTTTATCAAGTAGATAAATAATTGTAACAGAGTGAAGGTTCTTAGTTTACACACAGTAGCCCCGTTAAATTGGATTCCGCGCTTCGTCCGCAATCGATCGCAGCCTCACGGCTGCATCGCCATCGATGATGCTATGCGACCTGGGAGCTTTTAGTATTGTAAGTGCTTGAGCCATAAATCTTAGATAATTCTCGGTATTCTCTTTCTTCGTAGCTCACGAACATTTTCCAAGCAGTTCCTCTTTTGTCGAACCGCATTCGTTTTACTTGTAAGTGCGTATAAACTTCAACGTCAGCTGTAGTTAATACTCGCTGAACTTCATCGTTAGATTTTTATGGAACTAATGTAACTCCTGTTCATTTCATTGAATGGGTAGGAAGCCCTTCTGCAAACTCTGTTTGATCACCAACCCTTTTTTCGTTGACATTTTAGCAGCGAACAATAACGTACCAGTCCCTCGCCGTCTGATTAGGCGGGTCTAAAATTTACATGGCCATCGTCACTTGATAGAAGTCGTGTGGATATGCTATTTCTGACATAGTCTCTGGATATCAGCGAACATGCTGGAAGCAGCTTATCCGCGCACAAATCCACAGACACGCCTGATCAGACTTCGAGATATGGACTGTTTGCTCAAATTGCACAATTTTTGAAGAAATTTTGACAACTGTAAGACATCTGGGTTAGATTATCGAATGTGTGTTCTTTTTTATTTGGCTGGAGCTTTTGTCAGTAGTCTTATTTTATATTAATTCAACCCTTTCGTCAATTGATTTCACTTCTAGCTTCCTAGTACCATTTCTACTTATTTTATTCTCGCTGGGATTGCACTGCTCCCATTCTAGGTTCCACAAGTTCCATTAATATTCATGCATAATATATCATAGTTAACGCTTTTAGCGCACCCTTCAGAGGGACTATGCTCTCCACCTGATCTCAACCACACTCCACCTGGTGTTGTGACGAAATTAGACGCATTTCACAGACCGAAACTCAATTGGAGGTTGGTTCTATTCTATACACTCTTCGAAAGTCCTTGGTACGTTCTATGTTCATTCATATTTAAATTTTTAGCGCTTTTGTTCTTGAACTCCGCTTATCTTATTTGATAGTAACTCATCTCACGTGTACTGCTGTTAATATGCGCAGTGTGGATGTGGTATTGGGAGAAATTGGGATGTCAGAGTGATTGCTGATTATCATCACGAGATAGTTGCAAAACCCTATGCCACCATATTCCTGCGGGCCCCCATGTCATGCTATACTTCCTGCTTAAATGATAAAAGAAATATGTTTCATTCTACATCGCCTTATGTTTAAATCCTTTTAAACAGTTCGATTTCATGGCATTTTTCCTCCGTCTTGATTATTTCGACTTCCTTGAAATGATTAGGCAAGGTTTTTTTTGCTTCCAGAATGACCGGTGAGCGCCTTGTTTGTTTATGCTGCTCGAAGAAGAATCAATGTTTCTGCAAGAAATGCACTTTAGAGAAATGTAAGTTCCGCTGCAATCATAACGCACTGCCATGGCTATCAATTGGAATATTTTCAGTGAAATTCTATTCACGAAAGGAAAACATATCGATTAGATCGATACGGAAAGCAGAACTAGAGAAAGAAGTTGACAGCATCCTCGGAGAGGTGGTGGGTTATTATCGAATTATAAGAACACTAATTTCACCCCTTATACGTCGGTATCAAGTCGGGGGATTATAGTGAACAATGTGTTGAACAGATTACCGAATCACGCTTAATGTATTATATATTCTCAGCTCTCAGTATTTTCAGTCTCACCTCCATGCTGAAATCAACACAACCACGGCTAACATAACATTGCTGAGGAAATGGGTTGACGAGAAAAAACAAATAAACAAATTGAAAACGGATCGTTTGGCAGCAATAGAGCAGATGATCGCTTCGACAGCTAGGCATGCTAATAAGGTTTTGGTGAGTATCTGAGCTCTTTAAGTGAGTTTCATGTAATAACTGTATTGCATTGCAGTCGTATTACGATAAGCACGATGCAAATGAATTGACTATGCAGAAAAGACGAGAGTATAAGGAAGCTAAAGTCAGCGAAATGAATAGAAACGTAGGTACATATAGCAAAATTTTGTTGACGCCTTTTGCCTATTGTCTTATTCTAGGTTTTTCTCCTACGCAAATCGCTTTGTGGTTCCTTGTTCTCAATTTTCCCAGTCTCCGAAGTAATCGCTCAGAGTGTACGACCACAGGGTAGTACGGTTCGAGCTGATGAGAACACAAATGGGTAAGCAGTATAATTTCAGTTCAGTTGGAAAGCTTCACCGAAAAGGTCTGCCGTTGAAATAAGAGGGTATGTTATGGAGGAAGCCTAATATTATGACAAGAGTGTAACGAATTCGTGATTCGATCTACTCCGGAGAAGTCATCAATTTTCGAACTTTGTGCATTGAAAACATCTTGAAGAAAAACTGTTAAAACCTTCTAAGAAATGATATTTCTGTTTTAGAAGGTGGACGATGGTTGGCGGTCATCAAATCGAAGAGGGGCCTATGATAAAAGTGAGCTACGTTATCACATTAAATTTTATGAGTTCAGAACCTTTCACAATCCATACTTGGTTTGGTCGATCGTCCTAGTTTTACCAGCGGCTTACAACACATCCCGTCTACAGCCTCTTCACAGTCTTTTTTGAAGCAGGGTGAATACGGTCGAATTCCTCGACCATGGCTCTGTACTGTGCGAGAGTAGTGCCGAGAGTGAACGTACGCGCGGAGAGCACAGACGGCTCGCGCATGGCGAGTGTGAATGTCCGCGCGGGAGAGCGTAACTGATCAGGCGAAATCCTCGACAAGCCGTTGAGGAATCCTCGACCAATAATTACCCTGTATTGAAGTTATTCTTTTCATTGTCCTTCCTCCGAAAAAAAACAGTGGTATGATTTGTTAAATTTTCATGCTAAATTATGGAATTGCTATTAAAAATATGCTCATGGACGCTCTATGATCTCATGACAAAGACCACTCATAGCATATCCGTGTCGAAACAAATCAATTCAGGTGCGAGACAATTTCCTTATCCGATGCAGCACGTGAGCGGCTTGGAGATGCGTTGTCGGACTCACTTCTAAACCTCACTACCGACCTACGCTCACCATTTGCTGCTTTTCTACTATCTTTACAACTTGTAAGCAATATAGCAGCGATTTTCGACTTCCGCCTGCCATATTTGGTATGTTTTTGTTCAGATGTACTGACGTGAGAACCTTTTCTTTTCACAAGTGTTAGATACTGTATTTTCAGTTGTCTTTTCGTGATGTTTCTCTGAGAGAGCGGTGGAGTCGTGAGCTGTTAGACAACGATTGGTGAGCAAATGCGACTTTTTTCTGTATCATATTACCTTACAAAGAAATTCTCTTTCTTTTACTTCTGAATCATTTCATTGGATATTTGTTGATCAGCTACAGTTTCAGGTTTAAATTTTGTCAGTCAGTGCTATCATTAGGCCTTCATTTGGGAATGCCACCCGAAAATCTTCACTTCAATTATCCTCACTCCAATATTATCGAACAAGCAAGATTCGTTCTCGAAGGAGTCGTTGCTCCTAAGGTTAGTTGAAACGTTATTCTGAATTGCGGCAACTTATCTTTTCCTGAAAAGAGTTCGATATGTTTCGTTATGTGTATGTATTCTGAACATATTACAATTAGGATTAATGACTGGAATTCACGAGTTTTAAAAAGACCCTGATGACATATTTGCGTGCACCTGCCATTTTAAATTTGTTCGTATCTAATTTCTTTCTTTTAGAAGTCGTTATTCAAATTTG